TTATAATCTCATTTATCCCAATCGACTGCCCCTTCCCCCAACCCATCTACCCCCCCCCCCAATCCACTAATAATGTCAACCATCCCTCCCTTCCATCTCCTCAGTCCAGTTTTTCGCTCCACCTCTGTTCCCATATTCTTTTCATTACAAGACTCGCGGTAATCACGATTCCCCTTCTTTATGAATATTCCCATCTTTCTCCCCTTATTTCTAAACCCTTGCTCTCCCCCACTTATCCTATCGTCTCCTTTATCTCGTTTATTCTTTCTTTCCCTTCAACTACTTCTCCCTTTCTAATCTGCACCCCCCTCACCTTTCATCCATTAAAACAAATCTACATCCTCGCTTTCATTCTTCCCCGCTTTGTATCCCAACAATCCCCGTCTCCTAACCTTCCCCGTTCCTCTTTTATTTTCCAATTTCTCGCTCCCCTTAAACATCAACTCATCATTACCTTCTAAGATCTTCGTAACATCTCCCACTAAATTGACAACATCTCCTAAACTCTCTTTAAGTTTCCGTCCTACCCAAATATCTTCTTGATCGAGACCAATCTTCATTTATCATCCCATGCACTCACTTTACAATCTCTCATTTCTCCTTTCCTTCCGCCCAATATCGAATTTTTTCTTAAAATCCCGGCTAATACTTCTCACGCTCTACTCTCCTCCGAAATTTCTGATATCTTCTCCCAATTGCTCTCTCCGTTATACCCAGCCTCTCCGAGCAATTCTCAACTCCATCTATCCCGCACGTTCCTTCTACGCTCCTCTCCACCCTTTTCGCAGGATATGCCGTCTTAGATCAATTCCCATTTTATCACGCATCTCTATAATCTGCACTACCCTTCATTTATCCTAAACCTACTCGTCTTTAAACCATCTTAATCTAACTCTTATCCTCGTCCTCCGCAATCACAACCTATTCACTCTTCATCCTTTAGAGCTTATCTCCCTCTTTCTCCACAAAATTTACTCCTCCCATATCTATCCTATTCGAACAATTCCAATATATACCACTATCTCTATCGTTCGTATCCCCCGCTTCTTTTTCAATATAATAATCCTCCCTATTCGTAGCCCGATATTACTCCTCATATCTTATTTACCCACGATCCAATCCGCCCTCTCTATCCTTCGTTCATGCGATCGCTCCTTCTCACGATTATCAACATTTTCTCCGGTTGTTCCTCCTCCCTCTACATCCACCATCCCCACCTCTTCCCTTCCATTTCCTTCCACAATTACTTCCCGCGGCTCATCATCGCTCCCCGTATCCCTGATCTATCATAGACATAATTTTCCCTTCTAGCTATCCTCTTCATCCCTCCCAAATCACATTCTTTGTTCAACTCGCTTCTTTTTCATTCTTGTCCTCTCTACATCTATAACCATCCCTCTACTCTCCTTCAGATTCCTTCCTTGTTTTCGACGAATATTTATCCTCACCTTTTACAATCTACTTTGCCTAACTCCTTATTCCACTCTACCTCAGTTTCTAATTTCCTATCCTTTTACATCCAATCTCTTTTGATCAAAAATTATCTGTGCCTTCCAATTCCATTTCTTTGTTCAATGCCACACGCATTTCTCTCCCTTGCGCCTCTTTTTACTCTCTATCCATTTTTTTTTCACCTCACTTAGCCCTCACTATTCCTTCACCAACTTGCTTCTGAGCTGACCTATTTTCGGAGGTGTGATGTCTCGATCTGTATATCAGCAGATATCACAGTGAGGCTGCGTTATTCCCATCTCGCGTTAAATTTTTTACGAAAGGAGCATCGTGCCGCATTCTCGCGCATCAGCTTTAACTTCTAACCTTCCGAGTGTCGGAACAACCATCAGCTTACCATTGGCCTCACGACAGCTGATTGATGGATGTTATAAAGTTCAACTTATGGCTTTTATCCTTCTTGTCTATAAATACAGGTGATGGGTGATGGTGCAGTGACAACGTGAGATCACGCACGTACCCGTGGGTCTGGGAGTGTGCTAATCTATCCAAACGAGCGGATTTACCTATCAGCACAGTGCTTCTGCAGAGCGGATTTTTGCCTGCTCATGCGGCTGGGGCGCCAGACACGTCTTGCAGAGAACACCGATAGTCTATAGTATTTGTTCGCCGTTAGTGGACAATCTGTATGTGTTCAGTGTGACTGCTATACTTACTTATACTTGCCAAGAATCAATCCTGCATGCTGTATTGGACTTCCGACGCGGATAAACCTGAAACAACTCTCATTCCATGTTCTAAGATATCTTAGATTACTTGGGAATTCAGGCATGTGGGATAATCTACTTAATCCACAAAGTTCGAACGGTGGTTATCCCAGGACAATGATCTGAGAAGTGCAAGCCACTCTTCACTATCTCTAATCATAGTGACATGTCTCTGGATCATCGGGACAATTCTGAAGTGAGCGGTTTGATTCGCGGTGCACTGGGCTGTACCTAAACACTGACAAGTGCTAGGCGAGAATGCGACCTCATGCCTTATGCAAAAAGAACGGGCAAGCACCGATGGGTTTACTAAAATCGAGTCGCTGTGTGCTGAGCTATG